ACTGAAAGTTTGAAAGTGGGCAGATATTAATATTGCCATCAGCCCCTTGTAGTATTAAAAATGTTAACAGCTCCCGTTTTAGGGGCGCTCATATTGGCCAGCACATTGGCTTAGTGCTTTATATATTATACTGTCCTGTTTAACGCAGGAACAATCTGAGGCTCAGAGCGATTCAATAACTTGCTCAGTGTCATTTGTTGAGGAAAGGAAGAAGCCAGAGCCCAAGCCCACACCTGCTTGACATCTGAGCCCAGGGTCCTCCCACTGGGCCCCCTTGCCCTGACATCCTGTGATTCAAGGACTTTGTGAATTTCTGAAAATGTTTTCATCTGTTGGTAGGTTTGCCCCTCCAAAGAATCTTCTTATAAGGTAAGGAATCTTGGCTCAGAGAGCTAAAGCGTCCTCTCCAAGGTCACACAGCTTTTGAAGGGGCAGACTGGAGACTGGAACTGAGCTCTCACGATTGCAAACCCAAAGTTGTCTCTTTACCATGGTTCCCAAGTACACAGCAAAGAAAATGGACAGCTAATGTACCCACCAGCTATGATTCTTTAAGAAACCCCAAACTCGTATTCCCTTAATCTTTGGCAGGTATTCATCAAACAGTCAAAAGACAAATACCTAGGAGAGCAGAATGTGCAGGTCACAGCCAGAATGACATCATAAGGAGCAGACTGTGCCAAGCACACATCATTTCCTCTGACAGGATGGCAGGCTGGGATAAAGCTGAAGCCACTGACTTTGTCAGTTCCCCTGGTTTTGAAGGACAAGCTACATCAGCTCCACAGAAACAACTGAGGACTGAAAAGGGGACAAGTCACACCACACACCCACAGAGGCACACACACAGACACTCACAGACACGCCGACACACACACACAAACAGACATGCAGAAAGAGAGACACACTGAAAGACATATCAGTAGGCACATAGGTATAGAGACACATAAATACACCCACACATCCCCAAAGACACATGTGCAGACTCACAGATACACACACATATACACACACAGACACACAGGCAAACACACTTGCCTGCCTCTCTTCCATGTGTAGTTATGCAAATACACAGATGCAGATACACACACACATTTACACACTCACAGAAATGGGCACGCACACACACTCACAGGCACACGTATATGCGTACATCCACATCACCCCTTGCTGCCTACTCAAAACCCCTCCTCAGTATTCCCAAAGTTAGATTCCTCCCATGTTGCAGACCCAGAAAAAGGAATACCTCTGGTATTTGTGCATTTTCTTGCCCCTTTCTTGCCTGCTGTCTTTATCTTGAAGCATGAAAAATGCACCCTAGTGGATATGCATTGTTGAGAAAAGACATCGTCTTTGGAATTTGGCTGATCTGGACTACAGTTGAGGCTCAACCCCTCACTAGATGTGGGGACTTGGGGAAGTCTCTCCACCTTTCTGAGCCTCAGTTTTCTCATCTGTAGAAGGGGCTGATCATAGCTGTGATGACCTTATTGGGCTGGAAACCTTTGAAGCTTTGGCAGTCAGCGAGGGAGGAACTGACTATGCTACTTACTTGCAGTTCTTTGAATATCTGTCTCCCTTGCCAGTCTGGGAGGCTAGCACAGTGTTCATCAAGCACGCAGTAGGTGCTCAGCAAATATCTATGACATGGATGAATTGAATATGTCTAGATCCTTTGTGTTTAGCATAAGGCTTGGCACAAAATATGTGCTCAATTAAAGTGTGTCAAAAAAAGAAATACATGATTATGTATGATGTATTATGATTAGGGACCATGTTCCATTATATGCCAGGCACATCTATGACCTCATTTTATCTTCTCCAGACCAGGAAATAGACATCCATTTCTAGACTAGGAAAATGAGACCCAAGGAAGTTAAATAAATCACCCAAGCTTCCCCAGGAATCTGGGGAAGCAATTCAAAGCAAGGCCTCTGATTGCTAAACTGACACTCAAAACAACCACTGTGGACTCCACAAATAAATGGATGAATGAATATTTTCCCTGTGTGATAGAACTCAGTGGATGACTTCCACAGCCGGCTGCCTTATCCAGGTGCCTTATCTCCAGTAATTCTGGAGAATAAATGGTCACATTGTCTTCAATCCCAGGGTGACAGCTCAGTCTCCAGCCTCTGTCTGGAGCTTTTCATGGTGTTATATTTTGAACATATCACATTACATTTACATATACATGTAGTGAATATACATATATCCATATATATATATATCCAAAAGCTTCTGATGTTTGCATTTCTGCCTGCTCCCTCTCAACTTACACACACACACACACACACACACACACACACACACACACACACGGCATGTATATATTGTATAGGTGTCTATCTATTATATATACTCTATAATAGACCATTTGTCATCTGAGGCCCATTCTATCCCCAGATGTTTCTCTTCTGTTTATGGAAATCACACAGCCCCACCCAGAATCTGTCAAATGCTTTCATTTCCTTTACCTTGCTACAATCTGTGGGTTTAAAACTCAACCAACCTGTAGGCCAATTAAGCTTCTTTGCATAACAGCCACTTTTGGCAGTGATTGATGGTGCCTGGTTGAACATCTTGCAAATCCCTAAAGGCTCCTACCCTTGTATTATCTGTGCTTCTGCATGCCTGGGACCTGCTTGAATTCCCTCTTCTGCCCCCAACCCCTGCAGTTTCCCTGAAAAAAGGAGGGCTTGGCAGAGAACCTTTGCCCCTGTCTGGGGCAGGCAGAATGGGTAGACACAGAGCACAGAGGTCAGAATCTTTCCCTACAAAGGAAAATAAAAGTGGCCGGAGGTAGTGGCCTCCTGATAGGCAGGGGGCCAGGGCAGGCGGTGGTGACTCATCAGCACACCAGGCGGCCTGACTCAGGGCAGAACAGAAGAATATCTCCTGCTCCTCCTGTAATAAGCTCCACACAGCTTTGCCAGGCTAAGGAGCAGCACGGAGACATCTGAGGGCAAGGGAGTCTCTATTTCTGAAAGCTTGCCCCAAGGATGACGTAGGTTGTCATCTATCACTTTAAAAAAAAAAAAATCACTGTGTTGTAGCCAGGCGTGGTGGCTTACGCCTGTAATCCCAGCAATTTGGGAGGCCAAGGTGGGTGGATTACCTGAGGTCGGGAGTTCGAGACCAGCCTGACCAACGTGGAGAGACCCTGTCTCTACTAAAAATACAAAAATTAGCCTGGTGTAATGGGGCCTGCCTGTAATCCCAGCTACTCAGGAGGCCGAGGCAGGAGAATCGCTTGAACCTGGGAGGTGGAGGTTGCAGTGAGCTGAGATTGTACCACTGCACTCCAGCCTGGGCAACAAGAGCAAAATTCCATCTCAGAAAGAAAAAAATCTTCCCAATTGCAAACTCTATTCATTGGGGAACAGAGCAGGGTTTTAAACACTGCTTTAAAAGCAGGAGCCAAGTAGTCCGTATTCTCCCTACCTTCACCACCTCAAATGCCTCTCCCACCAGCGGCTACCTGAGATTTCCCATTAGCAGTTCACTTCATGGGACTGAACTTAGCCCTCTCTTGGGGTTGTTCTTTAAGCTATACCCTCATGAGGAATAAGATGAGATGGAGGGGAAGGGTGGTGACAAAATAAAGGAGAGAGCTACTGCTGGCTCAGGCCAGGCACTTGACAAAATCATCTCCTGGACACCCATGGTCCCTGACTCTCCTTTTCAGAGATACTGTAAGGGGCATTTCAGAAAGCGGGCGTGACCTCCTGAATATTCACAGAAAGGCCAGATTCAAATGCAGATGTGTGTGGCCCCAATATACTTTTCCCACATATCCCTGCTGCCTCCCGAATGCTTTTCGGTCTTATGAAAAGACTGCGAGACACCACACTGTGTCTGCACTGGGATATGTGTCTGCTCAAGTGCCAAAGTTAATACACTGGTAGGACCCAGAAATATGTAATGCTTCAGGGAACACTGGTCTAGTTCATGGAAATATTGAAATATAGAACACAGCACCCATCTTGCTAGCAAGGAGACCAAAAGCTTGCAGCTAAGGATGGCAGAGCAGAAAGAAAAAAGAACGAGGGTCCCCCGATGGGGTAGCGAGCGGCTGACTCCAGCCCTGGAACTCTCTTCTTCAGCAAGCTTTAATGTCTTATTTATTTGGGGCACTGTCAGCTGCATTTTTTTTCCTCTGTTGAAAATGTCCTAATTGACCACCGTCCATGGCAACTTTTGCAAAGTACTAGAGTTCCATGGTTGCCTCTTGCATGTACTTCCAGTCTGGGCTTTTGTGCTCCAGAACCTTCTGCTAAAGTTCAGAACTGCAGCACAGAGAGGTTTCTTATCCATGGGATCCTGACTCCTACCTGGACTTCAGACTAAACCAACCCTCTCCTCCTCCCCAACCCTATTCTTTTTTTCAGACACGGTCTCACTCTGTCACCCAGGCACCCAGCCCTACCCCCCAATCTGGGAATTTATCCCCTGCGTGCCCCACCCATCTTCCCAGTGCAGGCTGCGCCTTGCCTTGCCAGGATGTCTGTCCCAGGCTCCTCACTGATGCCCTATCTCCAGCGCATCCTCTAACCTGGCCCAGGAAGAACTTTTCTAAAACACAAAGCCTGCCGTATCACCACATGCTTAAACATTCTCCCATGAGTCTACATTTCCTGAAGATAAAATCCAAATGCCTCAGCCTGACATCCAAGACATCTTGTCACCTGATTCCTGCCCACTTCTCTCCAACCTTATCTGTAGCCATTCCTGGAGACACAACCTGTGTTCCTTCCAAACAGACACACCCACACCAGTGGCCGCTCAGAGGCTGTCTTTCTACCTCCCCACTTTCAGAGGGACTCCTCTCTGTGCTGAACTCTCTTTTCCTTGATTCTGTAACTCCAGTTCATCCTTCAAGCTCAGTCCTGGACTCCTGGAGTGTCAGTCTGCACTGAGTGCCTCCTCTGGGCTCCCATATTCTCTGTAGTCTCTTATCACACTGTGCCTGTCAATCTGTTTCCAAGCCTGCCCCTCATTTCCTTATTAGGCTGAAATTTCTGAGAACTAGTGCTAAGTGTTTTTATTGATTGATTGATTGAGATAGTGTCTCACTCTGTCACTCAGGCTGGAGGGCAGTGGTGCAATCTCGGCTCACTGCAACCTCTGCCTTCCGGGCTCAAGCCATTCTCTTGCTTCAGCTTCCCGAGTAGCTGGGACGACAGGTATGTGCCATCACACCAGGCTTATTTTTGTATTTTTTGTAGAGACAGGGTGTTACCATGTTGGCCAGGCTTGTCCTGAACTCCTGGTTTCAGATGATCTGCCCACCTTGGCCTCCCAAAATGCTAGGATTACAGGCATGAACCACTGCATCCAGCCTTGGTGCAGAGTCTTTTAATGTTTTTGTTCTTGGCACCCAGAACAGCAACTGACCCATGGCAAGTGCTAGTAAATGCATATTGAATGGATATGAGGGGCACATAGTGTTGAGAAGGTCTATAGTTTCCTCTGGCTTTTTATTTTCCTCCTTGGCCTTCCCTGCTTTAAATCAGTTGAGGCTGTTTCTGTGACAGCAGAAAGGAGAAGAAAATCAGTCTTCCTTGGCTTTTAAGCTTTCAAGATGAGTTTCTCAGGAGATTGGAAAGAATTCATGGCTTAGCCAAAAAATGCTGAAGGAAGACATCATGAGCAAAGGCTCTCCCCACCAGCCTGTGGACCAAGAGAAGATTCCTGGGCTGATGTGGAAAGGCTATCGTAGCACTAAGACTGTGAGTGTCTCTGAGAAACTGACCTTTGTGCTCTGCTCTTTCTGCCAGGTGTCAAGGCAAAGTCCCTAGAGGCACTGCCCATGGAATCTAATAGCAGAAAGGAAGAGGGTGTGCCTAGGGATGAGGGAAGGGCCGAAGGAAGCAGCCCTTCTAAGAGTGCGTCTAGGAGACTCGGGGCTTAGGTGCCTCATGGATCCTGTGAGACTCAAGAGGTAAAACAATGACGCCCGTGAGCCCCAGAATGTCACAGAATCACAGAGTCACCTGACTGGAGACAGGTTGTGGACAGAAACAAGGGACAGCTCCATGGTGACCTGCATTGACCCATGACCCAGAATGATAAATGCCAGGGACAGGTGGCACAGGAGAGCAGGTGGCCATCCTTCTATCACCTCTGTACACCATGCAGAAATGCAGTCTCTGGGAAAAGGAGGGGCAGATCAGCTGAGACTGATTTGTTACCTACCTGGGCTGAATGGAGGCTCAAAATAGGAACTCAACTCAGTTATGATAGCGATATTTATATCTACCCCATACCTGAGTTTATGGACTGAAAATTATACCTTCTACAAGCAAAGGACTGAACTCAGATGATAGTAACATGGCCCAAACAAACACATATTCAGAGCTGGGGCCTTGCCTGAAATAAGGTCCATCTCTTTCTTCCATTCCGACTGCTGGGGCAATTCAGCATGACACGCCAAGAATCCGTGAACTAGATCCAAAGTCTCTCTGGTTGAGGATTACAACTATAGCTAAAGGTCCAAACACAGTAAACCATACAAGGAATGAGAGTTGAACAGTCAAGGCCCAGACTTCTGCTTGAAGACAAACTTTTGGGGCTACCCAGGGCTGAGTAGGGCTTCAGGCGCCCCTCCTTTCTGTGACTCAGAAGCACTGTGTCCAGGAAAGTCTTCTCGGAAAAAATGAGGTTGGGGATGAAATTTTAAAATGAGTAGAACTACAAAGGGAGAAAGGGAAGAGTTACCAGGAAAGCAGAACTACATGAGCAAAGGCCCCACAGTACGGGGGAGCTGGGCTTGCTCATGGAAGGAAACAGGCTCCATGTCTGGAGTCTGGGATCGGAGGTGGGTGAATGAAGCAGGACCTCACTTGGCACTTTCAAAAGCCAGTTGGGACCTCCCTGTCCTGAGTGATCCCTTCTTCTGGTGTTCATACCCATGGAATCCCCTCCCTTGAGTTTGGGCTGGAGCCAGTGACTTGCTTCTGATGAACGGAATAAAATAGTGACAGATGCCCCTTCCATGGTTTGGTTATAAAAGACTTCCGTCTCGCTCACATTCTCTCTTCTGTCCTCACTAGCTTGTTCTGATGAAGCAGGCTGCCACGTTGTGAGCTGCATATGGAAAGGCCCATGCTGCATGGCACTGAGGAGCCTCCAGGCAGCAGCCAGTGAGGAGCTGGATCCTGCCAGCCACCATGTGAGTGAGCTGGGAAGTGGATCCAACTCCATTTCAGCCTTGAGATGGCCACAGTCCCATGGACATCCTACTTGCAGCCTTGTGAGGGGCCTTGAGCCCAAGACCCAGCTAAGCCACACCCAGATTCTCAACCCAGAGAAACAGTGAGATAATAAACTGTGCTGGTTTTTAAGCCACTATGTTTTGGGGTAATTTGTTACACCACAATAGATAACTAATTCAGCCAGTAACATAGACAGATATGAGATAGTGTAAGACATTTTAGATTTTAATGATTATCCTTTGGGTATTAGAGTGTTCCAGGTAGGTTCTCAAACCTGGTACCCACATGTAATCCATCTGAGCTTCTGATTCTGAACCTTCCTGATTCATATAATCTACGTATCACCTGAAGTTAGGTGAAAACTGCTGTTGTTTTACTAACATCGAGGTGGTCGGTGGACAATGGGAGGTTGAAAAGAATGGGGACTAAGCTTGGTTGACAACCTACTGAACTCTGGCTCTTGCAGGATGTTTTGCTGAATGTTCAAGTATCTCACTGATCCTTAAGGCTATCCATGAATCCTGAGGGGTGCAGTTAAGTAACTCACCCAGGAATACCCAGCTAGTCAGAGGCATGACAAGAGCTTCCTGCAGCTCTGCCTTTGAGACCAGCTGTATGCCACAGGCTTCTGACCTTACTCTCACCAGTGGCCCTTTCCAGAAACAGCTGGTCCACTGAGTGAGGACTGATGGTGGAGAAGGCAGAAAGCCAAAGATACCTTATTGTTCCTGGGGAAATATGCCCAGGCAGACCTTTCCAGGGAAGTTGAAGAAGCTGCATGTTGGCTCTGGGAGAGGTGACATTCTGCCATTGCTTCCTACTAATGGAACCCCTGTGATTACTAGGAGCATCCACCTGCCCCATAAATGTCCCGGCCTCTCTTGCCATAGAGGGTACCCAATAAGATGTAGGTGGAAGTTACTGGGAGAAGCTTCCAGTAAAGATTTTTTAAATTGCTGACTTAGCTGACAAGTGCCTCCTCCTGCACTTCTTACCCCTTCTTGGTGCCTGGACTGTGGACATAGTGGCTGGAGCTGCAGCAGTGTTTTACAACCATGCAATGACCTTGACAGAGGAAGCTACTCTGTAAGAGTAGTAGAGCATGAAGACGGAAAGAGCCTTGGCCTCTTGGAGGGGATGACTGGGGCGCCGTCATTCTAACCCTTGACTATTTGCATCAGGAGTTCTTTTATGTGAAAGAAAAGTAAACCTTTTTCTTCTTTAAGCCACTGTTACCTGGGTTTTCTGTTACAGGTAGCTGATACTAACCTTGAGTGATAGACTTGCATTCTTAGTAAGGCATTTAAACAGGATTCGGGGATTTCATTTTTAAATGGCCCGGATCCCAGACTCTCAAAATATCATTTCCCTTCTCCCCATCTTAGTTAAATAGTTATTGCTGTGCTCTCCAGAGGACAGGGGCACTGAAATTTCCTGAGCATCTACTTGACCCCACACACTGCGCATAAATCATATTCTTTGTACTTGCCTCACAGTGAATTTGTGAGATGAGATCACCACCCCATTTTACAGACAAGGAAATGGAAATCGGACAGATTGTACCAGTGTTCAGGGAAACACCACTAGAATTTGAACCCAGACCTCTCTGGCTCCATGGCCCAGACTTTTTCTGTCTCCCAGGTCTAGAACTCTGTGTCCCAGTTCGTGCAGAAGGTGAAGCCAGTTGGACCATGCGGAGGGCCCTGGCTCAGGGTGCCATCCCTTCCCCCAAATCTCCCACTTGCTGCCACAGGCCGAAGTCTTCTCCACTGCAAGGTGATAAAGCAGACAGCCCAGCTGGCCGCCCTCTCCTCACTCGCTGCCATCCTATTTAGTGACCATCTGGCTTTCATCTCTGTAATTCTCTGACTGTCCCTCCTTGAGGTCCCTCTTAAAGAAGCACACACCCTGTTTGGCTTCAGTAAAGGACCTCTACTTCCAAGCCAATGCCTCCCCAGCCTTTACCAGGGCAAGCCTAACAAAGAAAAGGTAAAACAACAGGGATTTCTGGTAGCAACACAAGTCTATTTCAAACCTCGGATTAGAGTATCTGAAAAGGTTACCTGTTCCAAGCAAACACATTTCCCCCCCTCTGGCAGAAATGTGGTCGGAGCAGCCTGATGCCATGACAGGCTCCAAATATTCTCCATCGAAGCTTGCTTTATCCTGTTTGAAACTCCTCTGTCTGTCCCCAGAGAGTCTGGAAATACACTCTTTCTAGGAGCTGATGGAAAATTAACCCACATTAGGAGAGAGCTAGGTGATGCTGAATTGGGGACAGGAAGGTCCATTTGAAAGGGGAAAAAAAATCATGTTCTTTGTAACCAGGACAAGGCTAACCATGCCTTCTCTCTATTGGTCCAAATCTATGCCAGCCTCCCACTGGCATCTGCAGGCGGGCTGAGAGCAAGCTATGGATTTCTATAGAGATTGTCACCATGGTACTAGGTATCTTATTCTGTTATTTCAAGAGGAAAAATAATCAAAAGGTCAAAGGAAGAAAATCTACCATAGGGCTTTTCATTTTACAAATATTTATTAATGCTTTGGTGTGTTCCTGGCATACATTAGATGCTAGCACAAGCAAGATGGGCTCAGAAAACCCACCTGTATTGTATATTCACCATGAGGCTATAGCACAAAGCGAGCCACTGTTTATCCGTGATCTGATTTCTCTCATGACAGCCTTGAAATGGCAACAGTATAATTCCTATTTTCTCAACTGGGAGAAAAATGAAGTATAAGTGCCCAAGTGTATCCAGAATTTGGGATGAAGGGTGTGGTCTGGACCAGGCCATCTCAGTTGGAAATAGAAAGTAAGTGCAGTAGGGATTATGAAGATAAAAGACTGAAAGGTCTAAGATGTGAGGCAAGGGTGCTCACAGGGTGTTGAGCACCTGCAACTAGCCACAGGGAGACTCTCTTGCCTCCCATCGGCTTGACAGGCAAGGAAAGGAAACTGCATTACCAGAGCCTGGTGGGGGCTGGGCTTGGAGCAGGCGAGAGTTGGGCAGAGAATGGATAGTGGGTGAGATGGAAAATCAAGAGTCCCCAGCACAGATGCGCTTGCTGACCAAGCTTGGGTTATGGTCCCCACCCTGGGTGTTGAAGGCCTGTGGCAGGGGATGCACCCCTGTAGTGATTAATCAGCTACCACTGCACTAATTATGGGAAACAACTACAAAACTCAGTGGCTTATGCTAACAAGACTTTCTATTTCTTTCTTTCTTTTTTTGTTTTTTAGTTTTGCTCTTGTCACCCAGGCTGGAGTGCAGTGGCACAATCTCAGCTAACTGCAACCTCCGCCTCCCAGGTCAAGCAATTCTCCTGCCTCAGCCTCCAGAGTAGCTGGGATTACGGGCATGCACAACCATGCCTGGCTGATTTTGTATTTTTAGGAGAGATGAGTTTCTTCATGTTGGCCAGGCTGCTCTTGAACTCCCAACCTCAGGTGACCTGCCCACATCAGCCTCCCAAAGTGCTGAGATTACAGGTGTGAGTCATTGCACCTGGTCACCTTTCTATTTCTTACTTATAAATCCGGAAATAAGTTGCATCCTTGCTGGGAGGGACTGAGCTTGACTCCAGACTAATGTTGGGTTTGGGTCTGCACCATCTGCATCTCTTCCTGTGTAGACAAGGACACATGTTTTCCTCACTGTGGATAATAGGTGCACAGAAGACCAAATCACACCACACATTTAGAGCCTCTGCTCACCTCATAACCACTAATGTGCCACCAGTTCACAAAAACCACATGACCAAGCTCCACATCAGTCCCTTGGAGGGATAAATTCTCCCCTTCAATAGAGAGACACTCAAAAGTCATGTGATAAAGATGTATAATTCTCTTACAGGGGAATGAAGAAACTAAAGCAATGTTCCAATCTATTATATTCCCCAAAGAAAATAAAATGTTAACACCAAACAAGAAATAAATGTAGGTTGAAAACCATCAATGCCCACCACAGTGGTTTTGCATAATATCCACTTGGACAGGTTGAAGCAGTTTGGCAGTAGCGGGAGGGAGTGAGGGTGTTTTCACTGGATTCCTTCTCGTCCTTGGGTCAAGACATGAAAAGTGCTGGTCAGTGACACCACAGAGGCTGGGGTGGGGGCAGGTCTCTGATAGAGACTTCAGGAGTCTGAACACAATAGTGTCCTATTTGTGACATTTATGAATGCCATGATGATCAATTTCAGGGAAATGACGTAGTTTGGGATCATACCCCAACTCTGGGTTCTGAAACATTTGAAACTCCAACATATTATGAATGTCAGGTCTGAGAAACCAAATCCAATCTCATTATTTTCGCAGTAGTGGTTATTAGTCCTGCCTATTGGGCTTCAAAACCTGACCACATGGGCAAAAAGATTGGGAGATTTTGCTTAGTTCTGTGTTTCTAATTAATTATAGCCCTTCTCCGCCTCAGTTGCCTCATTTGCAAAATGGGGCTCATAAGATATGCTTCAGAGACATACAGAGACAACTCAAAGCAACACTGTGTGTGAACTGAGCTTGGAATCCACAAGGTGCTCAATGCACATTGGTGCCTGGGCACCCTCACCTTAGAAGCAGCAGATATGCCCATAACTAGTGGTTCCAGAGGACTCAAAGATCATGCTTCGTGGGGTGTGCCCAACAGAAAAGCTAATGGAGCAAGCGCTCACTATGGAAGATGGGAAGCCTGCTCATTCCCACTCTTTAGCCCTCACTGGAAGTGGCCCATTTGACTTCGGGCATCCTGTTTAAAGAGACACTTTGACAAAGGGTAGCAGGTCCAGCAAGAGCCACAAGAGAAAAAAAAGGAACTCAACATTCTTTCTAATAAAAAATAAGTTGAAAGAATAGAGGAGCATTAGAAATATAATGCCAAATATTTGCCAGAGTGACTTCTATTTTGAGAATATGGAACACTATCAGGCGCAAACAGCAGGCTGGGGATTTTAGCTCAAGGTAGGGAAGGACTTTGCACCCATCATGGCTGCCTGAGTTTGGAACACATGGCCTTATCATGGGGCTTGAGTCAGACACATCTAGTTCAAATCCTGCCCTAGCTGCTCAATTCTCAGATGGCCTTGGGCAAACATGTCTCTTCTCTAGGCTTCAATACAGGTCAGAGTTTTGATCACATTAAATGCTAAGAAAGGGGGAACAGATGACAAAGATTCTTGGATTTGGCCTTCCAGTTGTCCCCCTTCATCCCCAAAACCAGAGAGAAGACAGAAGCCATAGGAGGGGAAATACTGATACTTTTGGTGCCAGAGAACATGGGACAATGGGAAGGTCATGATTTATTGCCTGACCCTTGTAAGATGGCAGGCTCACAAGAAAGAGTGAAGGAGAGGACAGCATTTGCTGGTTCATGCCATCTCTCTGGAACCTAGCATAAGACCTGACATCATGGCAACCTTTGATCAATATTGGAAAGCAAGAAAGAAAGCAGGAAGGGAAGGGGAGGGGAGGGGATGGGAGGCAAGGCAGGCATTCTTTGTGCTAAGTACTCCTGCTTTACAGAATCTAACCTTCCCAAGAACCTGGTAAATCGAAAAGTATTACCTCTTATTTTCCAAATATGTGGAAATTGGGCTTAGCAATTTACCTTTCGCAATTTATGTGATCTTGCAATTTGCCTTATGCAATTTATATAACTTCTCTGTGCTTCGGTTTCCTCATCTGAAAAACAGGAGGTGATAATAATAACATTTGTCTCATAGACTTGTCATATGAGTACCTTAGCTGGGACATGATGAACTCAGATTCAATGTAAGTTATAATTACCACATGGCAAAAGGCAGCTTTAAGACTCAAGGCCTGGTCTTTTTGACTGAAAGATTATTTTTACCTTACCATGCACTTCTACAAACAAACATTTAAAAGGCTCTACACTGTAATCAGTGCCTGATATATAAATTAATTTCCAGTTAGTTTCCTTCTTCTAAGTTGAGGCCTGCACACAATTGTGATAAGCTACAGATTTATAAATGTATAAAGAGCTGGATTTATTGGGGAAGAGTGGTGAAAATGCGGCACAGGGCAGAGGAGAAGTAATTCTTATAAAATAGTGTCAAAGTAGTAAATGCAGAGTGTGGGATACATGATGATGACAACTCATCAGCTTCCATGAATATTCGATCAGGTTGGGTTCTGGGAGTATGGCCTGGAATTTTCAGGCAGGCTGTGGCTTGCTTGGGCTTATGAATAGTGAACATGCGGGAATGAAATGGACTCCCAAACCTGAGTATCACTCCCACCAGAAATTTCTGCCACATCAACTTGGGGAAGGTAGTGGGTCAACTAAAGGGACCAAGGGGCGAGGAGGAAGAGGGGGGCTGCTAATCACGCACTATCACCCCACCTCTTTACCCTGCTCCCCCGGTTGCCCCCAAATGACCAGTGGTTTCCCTGGCACCGATCTGAGATGGCACCATTAACAAGGCCCAAAAGCCATTTAGTCTGCGAAGGAGGAGCTGGGATAGTGTGAGCCAATCTCCAAGCCCCAAGCTGTCTTCCAGCCCTTTCAGGAGCAGCTCGGGTTTCTGGCCCAGTGAATGGCGCAAGCTGGGGCCTCTCTAAGCAGATCCGGTTACACTCCAGCACTGCCTGCCTAAGCCAGGGACACTCAGTTGGAAGAGATCAGATTCTGGCTTGTTGATGACCCTAAAGTGAGGGCCTGTCTACTAGCCCTAACTGTCTCCACTGCAGCATCCAGGCTTATGGCTGTGACCTGAACCTTTGCTTAAGAGGGAGGGCATGGAGACAGAAAAATTTGGTTTGAATCCTAGATCTGCCACTTACTAGCTTGGGGACTTGAGTAATCTTTTAGCCTCTCTGAGCCTCAGTTTTCTCATCTTTAGTGTGGGGATAATCAAAGTATTCAGCTCGTGCCTTTATCAGGAGATATACATGAGCTGAGCCATATGAAATTATTTTGCTCAGTGCTTGGCTCATGCTATGTGCTTCATAAATATCAGCTACTTTTACATTTTGTTATCATCGCTGCTGGTTAGAGTATGTTTCTAAGAAACAGACTTTGGTGCTGCATTGGCCAAGGTCATCTTTGTTAGACTCAAATGGAACGATGAGATCGTCTAGTGTCCAGCTATTTCTTAGGAACAGACGCATCCAGATAAGTAACTTCCTCCAGGTCACAGTTAGCTGGGGGCAAAGCTGAGCCTGAATCTAGGCTGCCTGAGCCACATTCTCCTCCTCCTCCTCATTGTACACTATCCAGTGTATAAAATGTTTTCACCTGTATCTGTCTCCATCATGCCACGCTGCAG